GTGGAGAATGATACTGGATGAGTATTCAGTTTGCCCAGGTGGTTCAGAATTCACCACATTGGCTATATCTTCTTTTGTCGATCCCAACAGTTATGACGAGTGCTACCCGAAGCTCAAAGGGAAGGGGTGCGAGGTGAAGTCTCTCATTGTGCCTCTTCGCATCATATGGGGGAAGCTGAACAAGGTTGGCAAGTATTACGATCAGGCGTCCGCATCATTGGATGCAATTAGCAAAGTGCAGTTGGTCATCGACGATTACAAGGGTGATGCGTTCATTCCCGATGACGAAGCGGCCTCATGCATGACGGAGACTAACAAGTTCTGTCAAGTGTACTGTTGGCTCACGAACGCCAGCGCAGCTCGTGATTATAGGCTGTTCACCTTAGCCCCCAAGTTGCACTGGCAATGGCACATGTCTTTCAGAGCAAAGTATTTGAGCATCCGCATGGGTGCAACTTTTATAGGTGAAGATTTTGTAAAACACATGAAGACAAGTGGCGGTAAGTCTGTGTCAGGAACAAAGATGCACATGGTGCCAAATACTGTTGTCGGGAAGTATCGGTGGGGCATGACCCTCCAATGATTGGATATTCCTGGTATTCTGGCGCAGGAAACAAAACGTTGACATGTTATCGTATCCTCCCCTTGCATCGTCCTCGATGCGCCTGTCGCTCGCGCCCCCTTTGCCTGCGCCCCTGATCGAGGACGCCTGCGGCGCGAACCGCCGCCGCCCGCTGCCTTTTGGAAGCGCCTATGTGGTTTAAGGTTGGGCCAGGGTTCGGTCGAGCTAATGGCCATGTATGCCGCCAGGCGTCGTGGAAACCTTCTCGGGAACATTCTTGGGATGACAATTTGGATGATCAGGGGAGAATGTGCGACGAGGAAGACAACGAGGAGGAGGAGGGAGGAAGCCTCGTGGGGCCTTTTTGAAGCCTCTTGCGGTGTCTCGGTAGCCCCCTTCAGACCATGTGAGACAATCTTGGAGCAATGTTGAGTCGTCATGGGGCCATGAGGCCATCTAGCGCCATTTGGGCCGTCTTGGAAACAAATTAAACCGTCTGTTGGGGGCAATCTTGGTCGTCTTGGAATCCATGTTGGGCAATATGAGCCGTCTTGGAGGCAATCTTGCACCGTCTGAGGCTCCTCTTGCAGGCATATAGGCCGTCTGGAGGCCAATTGGGTGCCTGGGGTAGTCTAGGGTAGTCTAAACCTGTCGGATACCCGCCGCTACGAGGGCGCCACGGTTGCGAGGAAATGACTCGCCGTCTTCCCGTCCCGTCGCAGGACTCCGCCGCCCCGCCGCCTCACAAACGTGAGGTTGCCACGGCCACAAGCAACCGAATCGTCTGTCGGCAGCCGCAGAAAACCAAATTTCAGTTAAGTCCAGACAAAACTGAGGTAAGTTCAGTCGAAGGTAGGCTCAGCCCTGCCAGCAACTGAGGAATCTAAGTACAAACTAAGTACAAACTAAGTACAACTTAAGGCGGACTTAGTTTGTACTTAAACTTAGTTTGTCCTTATCTTCCTTAGTTTTTAGCAGGGCTGAACTTAACTTGATTGAACTTACCTTAGTTTTTCTGGACTTAACTTAGACTTAGTTTTCTGTGGTTGCCGGATGCACAGGGGCCGGGCCCGGGTGCCCGGATGCCCGGGTGCCCGCCGGGTGCCCGGGTGACGGGTGCCCGCGTGCCCGGGTGGGTGTGCCGGGTGCGGGGTGCCCGGGTGCCCGGGTGACGGGTGCCCGGGTGGCGGGTGCCCGTGTGACGGGTGCCCGGTGCCCGGGTGGGTGCCCGGGTGCTGGGTACCGGGTGCCCGGGTGCCCGGTGCCTTGTAGCCCTATAGCCTTATAGCCCTATATCCGTATCGCCCTACAGCCCTATAGGCCTATAGCCCTATAACCCTATAGCCCTATAGCCCGATACCCTATCGCCCTACAGCCCTGTAGCTCTATTACCATATCGCCCAATAGCCCTATATCCCATATAACCCTATAGCCCTATCCCTAAAAAAATTATGATTGGGTTTTTCCTCCGGTATCACTGTTGATTTATCCCGCGCGGTTGCCATCTCTGGCTAGACAGAACTCTTTGTGTAGTAGGTGCCAGGGCATGCCTTCGTGTTTCCTCCCGCCGGGAATGCGACGGGCATGCGCAGCTACGCCAATGACGTTGTGCTTCTTCGCGGGTAACAAGACCTGTGTTAACCCTCTGGTCGTGCATGGTGCCCCGAAGGCCACGCCTGAATCATTTTTGTTGTTTTTTTCTCCTGGTCAAGCTGTTGCGTTTTTCCTTCAGTTGCTCATGCAGCGGCCCCGCGTTGCCACACCAAATCAATGTGTATTTGTTTTTTGTTTGCCCGCGGGCATCATGCTCCATGCCACACACGGGATACCTCATGCCCCATGGGGCATGTCCCATGCACCAAAACGGTGTTGCAATATCTTGAGGGCTTCAGGTGCAGCCGTTTGGGCTGAAGTCTCCTTTTCTTGTCTCCCCCCCGGTCGTTCTTTCCTCTTCCATGCTGCTCTCAAAATGTATGGTTACATGTTGGCGTTCAGAATACAGGTGAACACATTGGCTCTTGTCACACGTTTCCATGGTGACACGTGTCACCCCTAGTTGTTTGTTCCCCCACATTCGTTTCGAGGTGACACGTTTCACCCCTGTTCCCAGTCGTAATGTGTGCTTACACGTCAGCGCTCAGAACACGAGTGAGTGGGTGGATGCCTGACCACCAGGCCACGGCGGTGGTTTGAGTTGTTCCGGGGTATCCCCGACCGCCTCGTGTCGCGAACTCCTTGGCAGTGTTGGAGTGCTCGGTGGAGAACGGGCATCTTCTCGACGAGCCGGCTCGGGCGACAGGCGCGGCCGCAGGCGCGGCCGCAGGCTCCCGGAGGCGGCGCCCGACCCGATCGGGCGATCCCGTGGCAGCTGCACGGTGCGGCGCGCCGCCGGAGCGGCGAGTGCGGCCGCGCGGCCCCCGACTCGGCGCAGGCTGCCCGGGCGCCGCAGCGCCAGCCCCCGCCGATGGGCCGATGTTCCACCACCACTACCACAGGTAGGACGGGGGGGAAGGGGGGGGAAGGGAGGATGGGGAGGTCCTCCTTCGCCTCCTCCTCCTCCTCCTACTCCTCCTCCTCCTCCTCCTCGTCCTCCTCGTCCTCCTCGTCCTCCTCGTCCTCCTCCTCCTCGTCCTCCTCCTCGTCCTCCTCCTCGTCCTCCTCCTCCTCCGCCTCCTCCTCCTCCTCCTCGTCTTCCTCCTCCTCCTCCTCCTCTTCCTCCTCCGCCTCCTCCCTCTCCTACCTATTGTAGCGGTGGTGGAAAATGGGCCCATCACCCGCGAGCCAGGAGCAGCAGCGCCAGCAGGAGACGGGGTGCTCTCGCCCAGGGGTGCTCCGACCGCCGCCGCTGCTCGGGCGATTGCCAAAGGTGCCCCTGGCCCAGGGTTGCGGGCAGTGTCTCTGTCCATGCCCAGTGCGTCTTGGACTCCCTCGGAAAGGGGCCGCCGCAGGGCCGAGGCGCCCTGGATGTGGGCAGGCATCGAGCTGCGCCTCTATCGGGTATAGCCAGGACCCCAAGTAAGGTGACCCGGTTAGTAGTAGGGCCCCAGAGCTTTTTAACTGGCCAGAACCACTAAACCAGGTCTGCCGTAGCTGGTGTTTTTTCGGGTGACGGCAGTTCCAGTTAGTGGACCGTGGCCTGGGGGGGCGACCCCCGGTACATATCACTAAACCAGGTCCCAATGAACCTAGTTCTGCCGACGCCCGACTCAGGGGCCAGATCTTGCTCCGTCTCCAGTGCTCCTCGGGTTTCCCGGGGGCGGGGGCCCGAAACTCCAAGCTGCAGGGGGTGTGGGCACACGTCCTGCCCGCGCACGGCGTCCCCAGTTTCTCGCTCCATTCGGGGGCCCGCAGCCCCTCTCTGGGCCTCGCGAGGGGTCCCCGAAGCCACCTGCGCTTTCCTTGGGGAAGGTGGAGCCGTCTTGAGCCAGGGCCACTTCTGTCGGAGAAGAAAAGAGTAACGAAACAGGACAGACCCAAACTTTCGGAGCTCCGCGCGGATTTCTTGGGTCGGCGCTGAACCCCCCCCTGGCGCGCGGAGCGCGCCGGGAGCGGCGCTGGAAGCGCCGCCAGGGGGGGCCAGCGTCGTTCCAAGAAGTCCGCGCTTTGCTCCGACAGTTAGTGCCTGTGCCTTCTTTCGGCGGCGAGCGAGGGGTGGAAGTGAGAAGGAGAAGGTCTTCTCAGAGGGCGGCGGGACTTCTCAGAAGCTCTCCTGCCTTCTGAGAAGTCTGTGTCTTCGGGGAAGGCTTAAAACACGTGTCAGAAGGCCAGAGGGACTTCCGAGCCTTCTGAGACGTCCCGCCCCTGCTCACTTCCCCTTCGGGCCTGCCGCCGACTGACCACTCTGTCCATTGTGTTTCCTGCCCCTCGTGTTTCCATATTCCCCGTACATGCACTTTTGGTCCAGATGGCCACGAGCTGCCGTGCAATAATAGCACAGAAGTGCGCATGGCCGTTCTCTCATCCCTGTCCCGGCTGCAGTTCTCCTTGGAGTCCCTCGGAACCCTTAGGCATGCCTGTTTTTATTCGTCGACCTACTACTCCTCGACCTGCCTCTTCACCTTGGCTGCTCTTAGGGTGGGGTGCGTGTGCCTGCGCCGCCTACTTTGTGTCTGTGCCTTCTTTTTCTTCCTCGAGACCAGCAACACCCAGCTTCGGATGCAACTCCTGGGAGGTCGAATTCTGATTTCGCCCTGGTCCGAAACCCGGCTTAATCTGGCCTCATCCCGCTGAATCCCGCTTAATCCGGCTTGATCTCGCCTGATCCGGCTCAGTCCCGCTTATATGCGAGGCCCACTCTCGCGCAACAGCGCCCCGTTGGGGCTTCATCCTCCTGAGTCCCCCCGACGAAGACCTCCCAGTAGCTGCCTCCTAAACCCAGGCGGCTGCCCCCGGTCGCCGCCCGCCGCCCCCCCCCCTCCTCCGCGCGCCCCCCCGGGAGGTCGGCCGGGCCCAGCTGCCGGCTGCTCTTCTGCACCACGGGCGTGGCCCTGCGGAAGATGCAGAGCGAGCCCGACCTGCCGGAGCTCACGCACGTGTTCCTGGACGAGGTGCACGAGCGGCGGGCCCCGGGGGGGCGGGGGCGCAGGGGGCCACGCGGGGGGGGGGGGGGGGGCGGGTTCCCCCGGGACTCCCCGAGTCGCGGCGTGGAGAGGACCGGCGGGCCTACTCGGCTGGCAGCTGTCGCGGCCTCGTGGGGCCCTCGCCAGGCCCCGGGGCCATCCACGAACCGCCCCGACGCGGAGGCAGAGCTGGAGGAGGAGGAGGAGGAGGAGGATCTTCTGTCTCCCCCTTTTTGTTCCTCTCTCTTGCTCTCCTTTTTTGTTTCTCTCTCTCTCTCTCTCCCCCTCTCTCTCTCTCACTTTCTGTCCCTATATATATATATATATATATATATAGACGTAAACATCTAAATGCACATTCTCTCTTAACCGGAGGTGTTTCTTCCACACGAGTTCGCGAAAGGAAGAGAGGAGGAGGGAAGGACGGTGGAGCAGCACGAGGAGTGCGGAGGAGAGAGGGTGACGATGAGTAGGTTGATGAGATGAGGTTGAGGATGACGATAAGCATGGAGAGGATGATGATGATTGATGATGATGTTGCTCATGATGATGACGGCGATGATGATGATGATGATGATGATGATGATGATGTTGTTGATGCTGATAATGGTGGTGGTGTTGCTGATGATGTTGACGGCGATGATGATGATGTTGCTGATGCTGATGATGGTGTTGGTGTTGATGTTTATGATGATGGTGATGATGATTATTAGGATGGTGATGTTGATGCTGGTACTGACGATGCTGATGATGATGCTAATGCTGATTGATGATGGTGGAGGTGGTGATGATGACGAAGATGATGATGACGACGGATGATGAGGATGATGAGGATGATGCCGATGACGATGTTGTTGATGACGGTGATGCTGCTGCTGATGATGATGGTGCTTATGATTGATGATGTTGATGTTGCTGATGATTATGAGGAGACTTATAATGCTGCTGATGATGATGCTCATGCTGATGATGCTTATGACGATGATGAAAATGATGATGACGATGATGATGCTGCTGATGAGTATGATGTTGCTGATGCTGATGCTGATGCTGCTGATGATGATGATGTTGTGCATGATGACGGTGATGATGCTGCTGATGTTGATGTTGATGTTGATGGAATTTTTCATGGTGATGGTGATGCTGATGCTGATGGTTGTGCTGATGATGATGATGATGATGATCACGATTATGATGCTGGTGATGATGCTGATGATGATACTGATGCTGATGATGATGATGATGAGCGTGTTCATGATGATGCTTGTGATGATGAGGCGGATGACGATGATGATGCCGATGCTGATGCTGCTGATGATGATGTTTTTGTGGATGGTGCTGATAGTGATGATGCTGATGATTCTGATGCTGTTGATGATGATAATGCTGCTGATGATGCTGATGATGCTGATGATGCTGCTGCTGATGCTGCTGCTGACGGTGAGGACGATGATGATGAGGATGAGCATGAGGACGACGATGATGGTGGTGATGATGCTGATGCTGATGATCATGATGTTGATGGTGCTGGTGCTGGTGATGATGATCATGGTGCTGCTGATGATGATGATGATGATGATGATGAGGATGATGATGATGATGATGATGATGATGATGATGATGATGCTGATGCTGATGCTGATGCTGATGCTGATGCTGATGCTGATGCTGATGCTGATGCTGATGCTGATGATGAGGAGGAGGGGATGAGGAGGAGGAGGGGTAGGAGGAGGAGGAGGAGGAGGAGGAGGAGGAGGAGGAGGAGGAGCAGGAGGCGCAGGAGGAACGCAGAGGAGGACGCATGGGGAAAGAGGAAGAGATGACATGTGATCAGAAGGAGCAGCTGCAGCAGGAGGAGCGATGAAAAGAACGCACAGCAGGAGGAGCAGGAACGCACGGCAGGAGGAGCGATGAAGAGAGCCGGACCGGAGGGCCTGGCGCGGGGGCCAGGGGCGCGGAGAGCGACCTGCTGCTGCTGCTCCTCCGCAGGCTGCTCTCCACGAGGCGCCCCCCGCGACGAGGGCAAGGACGACGAGGAACGCGGACGATGACGAGGACGAGGACGAGGACGAGGACGAGGAGGACGAGGACGACGAGGACGAGGAGGACGAGGACGAGGAGGACGAGGACGAGGACCGCGGACGACGACGACGACGAGGAGGATGCGGATGCGGGCTAGGACGAGGACGAGGACGACGAGGGCGGTCCATCCAGCAGGCTGGTGCCTCGTTGTCCACGCGGCGGCGGCCCCAGCGCGGGCGCTGCGGGCCGAACGCCGCCAGTGGCCCAGGATCGAGCGGCACCGAGCGATCCGCGCTGTCGGAGGGCCGCAACCGCGCGAGGCGGAAGGATCCACGCGGTGGTGAGAGGCCGACCGACGATGTCATCGCGACGTGAACCCGCGGTGAGGTGGGCGGCAGTCTGCGGGATAGTGCTGCGCAGATCAGTGCAAGCCGATGCCGCGCTGCAACACAAGTAGCACATACGACGTCGGAGTCCCAGGACGCCCTCGAGTTTGTCAATCTTTCCTGGGCGTTCCCCTCTCTCCCTCCCCGTCGGCGTGCTCGCCATCCTCCTTCCTTCTCCTCTTCTCCTCTGCCTGGTTGCGACGGTTGGGGATGTGGAGTGCCATCCGTGGCACGTCTTGCATTTCTGGCCCAACTTTGGGTTCCGTTGCTGTTCGGCTTGTGGTGAATCGGTAACGAAGTACCCACGCTGCTTGATGCGCGAGTGCATCTTGCAACGCTCTAAGAAAGGCCGTGAGATCCTTCAGCGGATCAGCAAGGGTCTCTACCATGGCCAACAAGGGCCTTTTAAGGGCCACGCAGGGCCGCGAGGACGGCATCACCAGACGGGAAGCTGGCCTTCGAGGCGGCCCGCCTGGTTTTGTCTTCCAGTGAGTTCGCTGCCACACTGTGATCACCAACGATTTCTAGCGAATTCTTCCGCCTGATCCCCTTGATGCTCTGATCTGCGACCACTTGGCGAACCCGAAGTACCCCTGCGGTCCAATCGACTATTGGTTATCAGATGGCCCCGCTTGGGCCATGAGGCTGCAAACTTCCTTCGCGCTCCGCGCTCTACCAAGCTGGCGGCCCGCGCAAGCCGCGGCGCGGGGTCGCTAGGTCTTCTCGCCAGGGCCCGTTTCTTTTCGTCGCTCATGTGGTTGCCCATCTGAGACACGCCGGTGCGCGCCGAAGTGCTCGGGACAGAACATCACACATCACCCGCTTCTGGTGCTCTGCCTTCCTGCCTTATCCCCCTCCTCAGGGGCATCGTCAGGGGGTGATAGGCTCAGGTGCAAGGCACCGACCGCCAGTCGCCCACTCGTTGCCGATATGCGCCTGATGACCCCCCCCCCGCCCAGGAACATGCGGTTTCGCCATCGGGGCCCATTATCCGATCTATTGGCGATGCATCGCCGATTCCACGTCGATGTTCGCCCTCTGGACACAAGGGCGAGAAACCTCAGGGCGCCTTCCCTCGGGATCCCTCTGCTTAATGGCGATCTCGGCGCGGAGCTTCTCGGGCTGCACCAAAGGCGCTGGTGACCCTTGCAATTGGGGCACCAGGCCCTGGGAGGAGGAGAATGAGGAGAATGAGGAGGAGGAGGAGGAGAAGGAGGAGGAGGCAAGCTGGCACCCCCTTTGTCAATCATTTTTCCTTCCGCCTGCTCCCTATTTGAGCAGCGAGCGAGAGGCCCCTCTCTCGAACACTCTTTTTGTTGCCGTAGTGCGGGTTGCACGGGTCCAAACCTTTTGTCGCGACTTTGGAGAAGGTCGGAGAGGTCCCTGACTCAGAGCCCCTCCGTGGCCGAAGCCGCAAAAGCAGTGCCGAAGCGTCCTGGCTCGCATAGACTTGGTATCGCTTGGACGTGTGCATTTTTCCTTCGGCGAGGACCATCGAGGAGCATTTTTCCTTTGGCGCCCTGCCGCTGGCGCGCTGGCTGCACCGCGGCCGCCGCGCGGGGGCCCGCGTGCCGCCCTGTGCGTCGGCCGCTTCGTGGCGCGCAGGCGGAAGGGCACGCTGAAGGTCGTGCTCATGAGCGCGACCGTGGACACCCGGAAGATGTCGAACTATTTTCAGTCAGCGGTGGGGGGGAGGCCGGACAGGGCCAGGATTATGTCGGGCGTGTCTCCCTACAGGGGGATTTTCGACGAAAAATATCAGATACCCTAAAGATGCACCCAAAAGGCAAACAAATACTCAAAAAATAGTCCCCATATTATTTTTTGAGTTTTTTGGGACTACGTTGGGGTATTTTTCTTTTTCGTCGAATATCCCCCTGTAGAAGGACAGGCCCGACTTAAGGCTAGGGCGAGGATAAATCTCGGAGGTGGGTAGGCCTCCTGCCCTGACACGTCGATGAAGGAATTGATTCTCTTCGGTTCGCGAGAGGGCGTCGCGGCCGTCGTCTTTGCGGGTCCAGGTCCGTCGGTGTCGGTCCCAGGCCGTTTTCACTAAGGGGAGGTTTACTAAAGGGAGGTTTGTCCACCGCCGACAATAAGAGGAGGCCGCGGCACCCGAGACATTCTGCAGAGCCGCCGCATCTCGGAGTTTCTCGACGTGTCCTTGCCAGACTTTATCCTCGTCCTGGCCTCGTCTTCGGGAGGAGACAGCCGCCTTGGCAAGACGAGTTCACAGTATCCGCAGCAGCCTGGCAATCACCTCATGCGCAGTATTGCTGCGCCATGTCGAGCGTCGTAATTTGTGTCCATGAGCTCGACATTCAAGTGTCCGGGAAGTCCAGAGAATGGGGGGGGCCAATTGCATTATGAAGCAGTCGTCCACGGCGGTTGTGAATTTGAACTTGACCTATTGCCAACTGGGGGTGCTTGCCGGACACATCTCGTATTCGCACCAGCCTCACGTATCTGACATCATGCCCTCGCGCTGGAAAGTATTGGCTGTGTGGTATATGCCCATTCTGCAGATCTCGTGTATCCACCAGTTCGTGCTGCTGGACCTGATCTGTAGAGGCAACGCAGCGTAGCAGGCAGGGTGTTGATGTTTCGGCCCGCTCCAGTCCTCTGCCCTGTCTCAGCTGGCGCGGGTCTGAACCGCCCCGCCTTGTCATCCACCGTCGTTCTCCTTCTCGCTGCAAACTTGCTGATCGTCCCCTTTCTCCTCCCACGCCGCTTCCCTCTTGGAAGCAGTCTGCAGGTTACCTGTGGGCGTGTCCAGGGCCTCCTTGGGCCTCTTTGGGTGGGGGACTCCTCGGGGCATGTTTTTAGGGACCGTCGAGGATCTCGGCGCCATCGCCGGCGCGATGTTTCTACCGAACTCTCCCGAAGAGGCTTCTGAAAACGCCTGGGCGAGTCTTGGGGCCGTGTTGGTGCCGTCGTGTGTCAGTCTTGGGCCGTTTTGGAAGGGGTTACTGGGCCGTCTCGGGGTTCTAAGCCGTTTTGGACCTCCTCGAGAGTTTGTCAAGATCTCCGCCAAGGAGGAGGAGGAGGAGGAGGACGTTCGGGAGGAGGATGAGGAGGAGAGGGGGCGAGGGCATCTCCGAAGTCTTCGCGGAGTCCCCCAGAGGCTCACAGGGACGTAACACATCCAAACTCTGTGATCATTGCACTCCCTCGATCATCGAACCCCAGATCGCTGATGCCTCGTTCTCGTCCATATCGCAGCCCTGGAGCTGCCGCCTCCTCGGTGACCCTTTTTGCCCCTTGCAGCCAAGAGGCTGAAATAAGGCACAGTTTGGATTCGGAAGGGGCTCGGCGTTCCTTACGTCCTTCCGTGGTTGTTCCTCTAGCCCTTCTCGTGCACCCAAGCTTTTTTGAAGCCACATAGGGACGTCGTTCCTTATTTAGCGTTCCTTATTTCAGCAGCCCGACTGCACTTTCTGAGTGTCAGTGGCCCAGAGACGCCTCACCCCACGCCGTCTTCTTTTTGTGTCCCAGTGAGTTCACTTGCATGGCAGTGCGGTGTGGCGCACGTTGGTGCCATGCCGACGCTCCAGTTGGCGTAGATTGTCGTCTTGGTGCTCGAGACGTTGAAGGTTAGTGTCCTCCTCCTCCTCCTCCTCCTACTCCTCCTCCTCCTCCTCCTCCTCCTACTCCTACTCCTACTCCTCCTCCTCCTCCTCCTCCTCCCCCTCCTCCTCCTCATCCTCCTCCTCTTCCTCCTCCTCCTCCTCCCTCCACCTCCTCCTCCGCCCCCTCCTCCGCCCCCTCCTCCCCCTCCCGTCCTCCTCCTCCTCTTAGAGCGGCGGTCGGAGAGCGCGGTACTGCACTCTCCCGCGCGCGGCCACGGCCCTGCGCCCCAGCCCGCTGAAGGCGAGCGCGCCCCCCCAGGCTCGAGAGACGCCGCCGCCGATCGGGCCGGCTCCTCGGTCGGGCGGCCCCGAGGGAGGCTGCTGCCGTGTTCGCCTCGGCGCCCGGGCGCCTCGCCTCGGCATCGTTTAACCGATCCCGATCCCCATCCCCTTCGAGACCCCCACCAAGATACCCCCCAGTAGGGGATGCACTCCTCGAAACCCGAAGGATACGGCCCATGTCCCCATCCGGGGGGGTAAATCGGCCAGTGGAGCCCAGGCCACGTCGCTGGGGATGGGGATCGGTTGAACGGAACTCATCGCCGAGCGCCGACGTCGATGGCGTTGGCCGTTCGACGCGTGCAGTGGCGTGTCGACGTCGACGTCGGCTCGCCTCTTGACCATCGACGTCGACGCCGAGGTCGATGGTCGATGACCCTCGGCTTCGGTCGATGATTGTCGACGCCGCCAGGTCCAGCGGGCACGGCTGGGGCCAGGGGATCGGCAGCGGGCGAGGGGGAGGCAGTGAGAAGGAGAAGGCCCTCTCAGGGGGGGGGACTTCTCAGAAGTCCTCGCGCTGCCTTCTCGGGAGTCGTCTGTGTCTTGGGGGGAGGGGCAGAACACTTCTCAGAAAGCCTGGGGACTTCCGAGCCTTCTGAGTCTCAAAGTCCCAGGACTCCCCAGGAGGCCCCACGGCCTCCAGAACACCCCTCCCGAGGACCAGAGGGCCCCCTGGGGCTCCAACATCGAGCAAAAAGCTGGGGGCACCTTGGCCAGGGGCACCTTCAGCAACCCCCGATGAGAAGGCCTTCTCCTCCTCATTCTCCCCCCCGGCTCGCCGCCGAACGAGCTTGGTCAGTCTGGAGACCACGGCCTCGCCCCTGGCAGCCGGCACGCCGCACGTCCTCGCGAAGCACCGCCTCCCTCTCCTGCCGACCCCCTGCGGGCAGCTCGCGGATGAGGTCGCCATCCTTGCAGGGGTGCCTTTGGTCCCTCGTGCAGTGTGCGGCGGGGCCCTCTCGCTGCCTTTTTGGGGCTGGGTTCTTTACCGGTTCCGCTCTGCCGCTCCTCCTGCCGGCCGTGTCTGTGGGGCCCCGTGGGAGGCCCTGGGCGCGCAACGTGGCGCTCAGCTCCCCGCGTTGGGTCAACTTCGAGGGCTGAAGCGCCGCGGTAAACAAATAGAGTGAGCCCTGGCCCGCCGCCCTCACCCCTTGTCGCTGGCGTCAGTCGTCGCGGCACCGATCGAGCCTGGGAACGCGCTGCGTCCCTGTGCCCACCTGCAGCGCGAACGCCACTGCTTGCCCTCAGGTCCTCGCAGCTCGCACTCCAGCTTGATCGCCACGGCCGCCCTGGGCGCAGGCTTGCTGGTCTTGGCGACTCGGCGCGTGGTGTCGCTCCCGCCCAGCGCGCCGCCCAACGCCGAGATCCACATGCCCGCGCCCTCGGCCACTTGTGACCAGCTTGTGTCTCGCAGCAGGCAGCAAACGACCGTGATCAGCAGCAGCACCCTTCGCAGCCTGGTCGGCGAGCTGGTTGCCGATCCCTGTAGGTAGTGCGGCCGCCGTCAACCACAGGCCGCCGACACTGGAGAGCAGGCGCCTTCGCACCGTGAGGCCGGCCTCGCACAAGCCGCCGAATTCGTCCAGGGAGCCTCCGCACTTCGCGCCGCAGGGGTCACTACGCGTAGCCGAAGCTCGCATTTGTTGGCGCGCCCGTGCTCTGAGGCCCAGGGACGCGGAGCTGCTGCCGACCATTTCGGTGACGGGCGGCGGCGCGAACCGCAGCACCGCGATAATCCCGTTTTCAAAAGCGAGCCTGCGTCACTGGTCACGGGGGCTGCGCATGCCGGACGGGGCTAGGACGAGGATCAATCTGTTCCAGAGCGTTTGGGAACACACTCAGAGCGTTCCAGCACGCTCTGAGAAGGCCGCGGCGACCGAGACATCCTCCATAACGACTCTAGAGCCGCCAGACTTCTAAGATTTATCACTGTCAAGGATCCGTCCACCGATAGCGCCTTTTGAAAAGGATTCGCCTTGCCACATGTAGAATTGTTACACAATTTCACTGTGTGGAATAGACGGTGAGACATTAACCGGCGGGACCTTCGTTTTGAAAGCTGTCCTTCTGTGTTATGTGCACGTCCGTTCAGGATCATTGAGGACTTTTTCAGCGAGAGCTTCCATGTAAGAGATGAACTACCATCCATCCGAGTAACTGTTATAAGTGTTCGCCAGGGCACGATTCGCCTTCCGTGATGGCCCCTCGTTGTTTTAAGTTGTTGGCACGAACGTGCGCGGATCTAGCTCTATAATATCAATTTGGCCTGTTCTTCATCTGCAACTGCAACTTGTAAGCCGGGTGTGCGCGACGTCCGTCTTGTCATCTGTTGGAAGTGTTTAAGGCGCATGCATGCGGCGCTCAGGCGTGAACCGCATGACGAAACGACCCGCTCTCAATGATTGTAGCCGCTAGTTGTTAAGACGAGTGTGGGCGGCGCGCGATAGCTATTGTTTCTGAAACCGGCCGCCCTCCATAGTCATACGTGTCAGAAGTATGTTGGGCAAGTGGGCGCGGTGCTAAGGCGATCACCGGATTTAGGAAAAAAGGCCCGACCTCCATCTTTGTAGCCCTTGGACCGTTCTAGCTCCGAGATCAGTTTGCGGTGGCGAGGTCTCAGACGGCACTGTGTGCCAGCGCGGGGCGAGCCCTGTGGCGAGAGGCGGCTGGGGGAACCAGCGGAGGCGGGGCGGGAGGTTCCGCATCGCTCGGGCGTGTGCCTTTCTTCTCGTCGAGGGCCACGGGGCTGCGCCCTGGGCCACCTGGGAGCAGAAGAAACTACACACGCCGTCGACATGCGCAGGGCAGGGCCGTCCGGACGGTGGCGAGGCGGGGGCAGGACGGGGGAGCCACGCCCGCCCGCACGCACGCGCGCCAGGCCCAGGCCGCGACCGCTGGGGCAACACCGAAGTCGTCGGGCGCGCCCGGGGGCGCGCGCCTGGCCAGGGGCGCGCCCGCCCGCGGGGCCGCGCGCCCGGCGGCCTCGGCGCCCCCTGCCCGCCGCGCCCGGCCGCCCGCGGGGGCAGCACGGAGGCCCACGCAGCGCAGGGGCGGTTCGGCAGGCGCCGCCACGTGCTTTGGCATCGCTCGGGCGTTTTTTTTTTTTTTTTTTTTTTTTTTTTACTTCGCACTCCGGAAGAATATTTATTGTTGATCCCCCTTCACCAGTGCATTCTGTTTGTTCTCAATCAAAGTGCGCCCTCGACGCTCGCACCCGGTTTTTTGACAGGGGAAGTCTTGGTGCTCAAACTGTGTCCCTGGCCCCCCGGATTACAACAACAACAACAACAACAACAACAACAACAACAACAACAACGGCTCCCGCCTGAGACTTCCTTCAAATTTTCTCAGGACCCCCGCTCCTGAGACTTCCTCACAATATACTCAGGATCTGTGCTCCCGCTTGTGACTTCCTCGCAATTTAGTCAGGACCCCCGCTCCCATCTGAGACTTTCTCACAATATACTCAGGAACGGCGCTCCCGCTTGAGACTTCCTCGCAATTGAATCAAGACTTCCTTGCAATTTAATCAAGTCGCCTGCTCCCGCCAGAGAGCCCTTCACATTTTATTCAGGAATTGCGCTCTCGCCTGTGACTTCATTCAAGTTCTTCATTCAATTTATTCAGAAATCGGGCTTTCGACGCTCAGGGAACGCGCTGCGCCAAGGACGCCGTTGGAATTTACTTCGTAATCGCGCTCTCGCCATACTCAGGCATCCCGCGTGAATGTCCCACCCGCTCGACCCGCCCGTCAGGGGATCGCCCGCCCGTCGTGGGCTCCCGCCGGAGACTTCCTTGAGGAACGGCGCTTTCGCCTAGGACTTCCTCGAACGTTCACGCTCTTACCTTCCTGCTCCTCCTCCCTCTCCCCCCTCCCTTCTTCTCTCCTCCCTTCTCTCTCCCTCCTCTCTCCCCTCATCCTTATGCCTCTCTGCCCTATCCCGTCTTCCTACTCTCCCTCCTCCCTGGGAAGCCCAGCTCGGCCCCCTGGGAAGCCACGTGGTGGCGCCGTCGGCTCCATCTGCCGCAGAGCCCGAGATGCGGGTCACACGTGGGCCACTTGTCCGACCGCCGGCCCGGATTCGTAGGTCGACCCTGCCAAATCAGGGGTGCCCTTGCGTCCTGTGCCTCGCGACCCGTGCCTCCTGCATTCCTACGGCACTGTGGCCCTCAGAAGGGTCGTGTGTCCTCTCGCGTGCTCGGATGTCTCAGGGGCGCCCATGCGGGGCCACCTTGGGGCCACCTCGGGGGCCTCTGTGTGGGGCCCTGGGGGCTGGAGCGCCCGTGGGGGCCTCTTGGGGGCGCTCGGTGGGTGTAAAAGGAGGAAGGATGGAGGAGCAGGAGGAGGCAGGAGGGAGGGCAGACCCGCGGAGGAGGAGGAGGAGGAGGAGGAGGAAAAGAATGGGATGAGTAGTGAGGAGGACGAGGAGGAGGAGGAGGAGGAGGAGGAGAAGGAGGAAGGGGAGGAAGGGGAGGAGGAGGAGGAGGAGGAGGAGGCTTGGAGACTTGGAGACTACCTCGAGGGGAAACCCCCTCGCTCGCCACACCCTGCGCGTCACAAAACTCACGAATCTTCGAAGCTACAGACCTCGAAAATGTCGACCTCTGCAGCTTGCAGGCCCTTGTACTCGGAGATAAAACACACAACCGAGGACGGGTCAGCGAAGCCATGCAGACGGGCGACCTCATGGTCAATGAGAGGAGGAGCAAACTGGAAGCCGTATCCCACCGTCCCAACTCCAGTCCCAGCGCCTCCCCCTGAAGATGAGGAGGAAGAGGAGGAGGCGGAGGAGGAGAAGGAACGCCAGGAGGAGGAGGAGGAGGAGGACGAGGAGGAGGTGGAGCAGGACGAGGAGGATGGGGAGGGAGGGAGGGAGAGAGGACCACCCCCTGCATCGGGAGGGCAGCCTGTCCTCGGCCGCCGGGCCCCCCCCCTCCGCGCGGCGGCGGGGCTCGCCCAGGGCGTGGCCGCCCCAGTGCTCTGCGTGCCGGGCCGCGCCTACGACGTGGAGGCGCGTGCCCCGCCGCCGCCGGGCCCCGCCCCTCGGGCGCGGTGTCGGCGGGTGGGTCCACCGCGGACCGTCGGCCTGGCCAGCGGCAGCGCCGATCGGCGGCAGCCCGACCCCAAGAGGGACGGACGGGGGACCGACCACGACGGACCGAGAGCTGGGGATCCATCCGGAGGTCCACTGGGGCCGCGGATTGAAGACATCTCATCGGCGGATGTCTGGGCAGCTGGCCGCGTGTCCTGGATAACGCAGTGTACCCCCCCGCCGAGTTTGGGTTCCCCCTGGCCAAGGCCGAAGCGGTCGGGGGCAAGGGGGTGGCGAGGCCGAACTTTGTTGCCGCCGAGGAAAATACGACCCGAAGTTGCTATCTGATCCTTGTATGTTGATTAGTGCATGAACTAACCATGCATCCAACATTCTTCGACCAGTTCAGCTACAGTGGGGGCGCGAACCGAGAAACCGCATGTTTCCGTACGGGTGTCATGGGTCTTTTCGTTTTCAGCAATGCGCGGCGACCTCCCTGGTCGTTAAGAAACTACCGCCCCCTGGGTACCCTGGGCTTCTCCCCGAATCGCACTTCGCGCCTTTGTTTATCGCGCCCTGGGAAAGTTTTTCTTGGGCCAGGATACCCTGGATTTCTCCGATTGGAGCCCTTGGCTACGAAACACGGACACTGGGCAAGAAGTTTGTTGGATTTTCATAGTTTTTTTTGCGAAGGTTTCTTGCGGCCCCGTCCCCAAAGCGCAATTTTTGTGATTCCCAATCATCCTGTGGTTTGGGGTCGTTTTTTTTGTGAAGAAGAAGAAAGAGCGCCCCGCGTTCCTTCCTCCTTTGTTTCTCCTCCCCTCCTCACTCGTCCCATCATCATCATGATCAGCATTGCCATCATCGTTATCATCGTCATCATCGCCACCCATGTCGGTCTCACTCTTCAGTCGGCGAACCCCTCACACGTTTCGTGGCCCCATGAGGAGTTTCACCGAAAATCCCAGTGGGACCGCCCGCGTGAGTCCGCCACGCTCAGTACAGCGTTTCGTGGCCCCACACGGAACTCCACCGAAGGTCCAAGTGGGACCGCCCGCGTGCGTCCACCACACCCAGTACAGCGCTTCATGGCCCCACACGGAGCTCCACCGAAGGTCACACTGGGACCGCTCGCGTGCGTCCGCCACACCCAGTACAGCGCTTCGTGGCCCCATAGGGAGCTCCACCGATGGGACCGCCCGCGTTCGTCCTCCACACCCAGTACAGCGAATCGCTGCCCCATAGGGAGTTTTACCGAAGGCTCCAGTGGAACCGCCCGCGTGCGTCCCCCCCACGCATTGCGTGTCCCACCGGAGGCGGCACCCGCAACGCGTTTTCATAACTACATATGGCTGGGTCCTTCGCCACTATAATTTTCATTATTGTTATATGGTGTTGATTGTGATTACTGTCGCGTTATTCCTGCTTCGATTGTCACTACAACTACGACCACCATGGGTACTACTGCGAATTTTACTTCTATGTTTATCTAGCACAACCAGAACAACGACCATCGTTATTAGTATTACCATCCGTGCCATTTGTATGACCACTATTATTATTATTCCTACGATAATTATTTTGGGTGTCTTTACCATGCTGACTACTACGTCAACTGGTATCACCTATGCAGGATTCTTCAGTTGACTACAATTTCTACGATTACCCCATTATTACCACCACTGCTACGACTACCACTACCACCACTACTACGACTACTACTACTACCACCACTACTACTACTGCTACTACTACTACTACTACGACTACTACTACCACTACTACTACTACTACTACTACTACTACTACTACTACTACTACTACTACTACTACTACGACTATTATTACTACTACTACTACTACTAGTGTTACTACTACTACTACTACTAGTACTACTACTACTATTAGTACTACTACTACTACTACTACTACTACTACTACTACTACTACGACTACGATTACGACTACGACTACTACTACTACCACTACTACTACTACTACTACTACTACTACTACTACTACTACTACTACTACTACTACTACTACTACTACTACTACTACCTACTACTACTACTACTACTACTACTCCTACTACTACTACTACTACTACTACTACTACTACTACTACTACAAGGGCTGACCGGGGGATGGTGGCCGGGCAGTTCGGCCGTGAAACGACTTAAGGGTGGTGATGGAGGTTTCGCGCTTCCAGCGGCTTCAACACAAAAAAGGAGATTGTGGTTGGTTGTGGGTGTGGGTGTGGGTGTGGGTGCGGGTGCGGGTGCGGGTGTTGTTGTGGGTGTGGGAATGGGTGTGGGTGTGGGTGTGGGTGGGTGTTTCATGGATGATGTATGATGATGTATGATGATACACGATGGTCGATGGTGTATGATTTTGTACGATGATGTATGGTGATGTATGATGATGTATGCTGGTGTGTGGTGATGCATGATGATGCACGATGATGTATGCTGTTGTACGATAGTTCATGCTGATGTATGATGATGTATGATGGTGTATGATGATGTATGATGATGCGCGATGATGTTTGATGGTATATGATGGTGTATGATGGTGTATGGTGACGTATGATGGAGTATGATGATGTTTAATGGTGCATGATGATGTATGATGATGTATGATGGTGTATCAGATGTATGCTGACGTATGATGATGCATGATGATGTTTGATGATTGATGCATGGTGTTTGATTATGTAAGATGTATGGTGCTTACCGGTGTATGGTATTTGATGTGTCATGCAGGATGATGTTTGATGTTTGGTGTTTACTGTTAAATGTTTGATGTTAAATGATGTTGGATGGTGTTTGGTGGTTGGTGTATGATGTTTAATGATGTTTGGTGTTTGGTGTATGATGTTTGATGCTTGATGTTTGATGATGTATGATGTAAGTTTGATGATGTTTGATGTTTGGTGGTTGATGTGTGTTGATGTTTGATGATGCTTGCTGTTTGGTGTTTGATGAGGTTTGGCGTTTGCTGTGCGATGTTTGATGTTTGATGTTTGATGATGTATCATGGTTGATGCATGTTGTCTGATGATGCATGATGGTTGATGTTTCAACTCTGGGTGTTTGTTGATGTAGGATTTTTGATGATGTGTGATGTTTGGTGTTTGATGTTTGATGATGGGTGGTGTTTGATGTTCGATTATGTATGATGTTTGGTGTGCTATGTTTGATGGTGGTTGACGTTTGATGATGTATGATTTTTAATGTTCGATGTATGAGGTTTGGTGATGTATTATGTTTGATTTTTGTTGTATGATGTTGGTGATGGGCGATGTATTACGATGCGTGGTGTTTGATGATGTATGTTGGTGTATGATGTACGGTGTTGGATGGTATATTATGATGTATGTCGTTAGGCGATGTATTATGGTGTATTGTGTTTGATGGTGTATTATGATGTGTGATGTATGGTGTACGATAATGTATTACGATGTATGGTGCTTGATGCTGTATTATGATGTAGTATGCACGATGTTTGATGACGTGTGATTTTGTGGGATATATGATGTTTGATGATGTGTGATGTTTGATGACGTATGATGTGTGATCCTGTATGATGTTTGATGATGTATGACGATTGACCAGGCATGGTGTACGTGCAATGCTGTATGACGCAATATGATGTATGGTGTATGTATAATGTTGTATGCGGCATGATGGTATGGTGTATGTATAATGTTGTATGATGCGTGCTGATGTATGGTGCATGTATAATGTTGTATGGTGCATGGTGATGTATGCTGTATGGACCATGTTGTATGATGAATGATGTTGTATGATGCAGGTATCACGCTGTATGATGCATCATGATCTATGATGTATGGCTCATGTTGTATGATGTATGATGTTGTATAATGTATGTATCATGTTGTATGACTACTACGCCCTCGTTGTCAGGCATCCCAGGAGGCTTCCCAGGAGGCCCTAAAGGCCTGTGAGGAGGCCCGAGAGGCCTCCCGGGATGCCCCAGAGGCCTCTCAGGAGGCCCAGGAGGCCTCTCAGGAAGCCAAAGAGGCCTCCCAGGATGCCCAAGGGGCCTGTCGGGAGGTCCAAGAAACCTCACAGGAGGCCCAAGAGGCCTCTAAAGAGGCCCCACAGGCCTCTCAGGAGGCCCCAGAGGCCTCTCAGGAGGCCCAAGAGGCTTTTCTGGCGGCCCAAGAGGCCTCTCAGGAGGCCCAAGAGGCCTCTCAGGAGGCCCAAGGGGCCTCCCAGGAGGCCCTCCCAGGAGGCCAAAGAGGCCTCCCAAGAGGCTTTTCAGGCGGCCCAAGAGGCGTCTCAGGAGGCCCAGTAGGTCTCTCATGAGGCCCAAGAGACCTTCCAAAAGGCCCAAGAGGCCTCCCAGGAGGCCCAAGAGGCTTCCCAGGAGGCCCCCCAGGAGCCCCAAGGGGCCTCTGAGGAGGCCCCAGGGGCCCCCCAGGAGGCCCCAGAGGCCTCCCAGGAGGCCCAAGGGGCTTCTCAGGAGGCCCAAAGAGGCTTCAGGAAGCCAAAGAGGCTCCCCAGGAGGCCCAATAGGCCTCCCAGAAAGCCCAATAGGCCCCCCAGGAAGCCGCAGAGGCCTCCCAGGAGGCCTAAGAGGCTTTCCAGGATGCCCAAGAGGCCTTTCGAGAGGCCCAAGAGGCCTTTCAGGATGCCCAAGGAGCCTCCCAGGATACCCAAGAGGCCTCTCCAGGAAGCCTAAGACGGCTTCCCAGGAGGCCCTGCACGCCCCGCGCGCCTCGCGCGCCCCGCGCGCCCCGCGCGCCTCGCGAGCCCCGCGCGCCCCCCCGCGCCCCCGCGCGCCCCCCCGCGCTCCCCCCCACGCCGCCCCGGCCACCATCCCCCGGTTTGCCTTACTACTACTACTACTACTACTACTACTACTACTACTACTACTACTACTACTACTACTACTACTACTACTACTACTACTACTACTACTACTACTACTACTACTACTAACTACTACCA